ATCCGTTTAAGTTTAATTTATTCTGCTAGGACTAAGACAAGTCCATGTAAAAACATTTAACATTAACTTTTGGCCCCATTAAAAACAAATATTACGAGTACAAGAAACACATTTTTTAACATCATATCTTGATAAGCAAATCTAGTTAAATGAAAAAATTATTCAAGAGCATATCCTTATATACCTTTTATCGTCGCATTTTCCCTCTTGATTTGTATTTTGCTGACTTTCATCTCAGCAGAAGTTTCCTCTTCAATTTCGTATTAGATGGGTCCAAGTGTTCAACGGGTTGACCAATTGTTCTTGGGCACCACTCATTGTGTTCCCAAAAAAATAAAAACAAGTGGTCATATAATCAACAACCATGCTAGGGGTACACAAATTGTACGCAATTTGTACACAAAATGTCGGTCACAGACAATTGGTACAGAATTGTCTGTGATCACAGACAAGAGTTGTCTGTGTACACAAACAACTTTTGTCTGTGTCCACAAACATTTACTACCTCCGTCCCTGATTGTTCTTCCAAATTAAAGTGGCACGGTGATTAAGAAAGTGAGAATTGTGTGGTGGAGAGTTGTGCAGAGGAGAGAGAAATGCTGTGAACCACAAATTATTTGCCAAAAAGGGAAAGTGAAGTTCTTTTTGGGACGGACGAAAAGGGAAAGTTGGAAGTAAATTTAGGGACGGAGGGAGTACTTTTTTTTTTTTGTAAAAAGTACGCTGACAGCCGCCTGACACTGACATTAGCTTGCAAATCAATCAAATATTTGCAGTGTCTGTGTGCACAGACAATATTTTCATGTTGCACAAACAATTATTTGTCTGTGTGCACAGACAACTTTTACCACACAGACAATAGTTGTGTGTTCCACAGACAATAGTTGTCCGTGTGATCAACTTTAGTTGTCTGTGTGATCAATTTTAATTGTTTGGGTGAACAAAAAACTCAATTTTCTATATACATCCAAATGAAGGATGTAGTTGTATGTGTAATCAATTTACATTAATTTGAATAAAATTAGAAACATAATAAAAATATATGAAATAAGATGAATAAGTTGATTTTGTGCAAATAATGGAAAAAAATGATAAATAAAGGTAGAGAAAAAGAGGATGAAGAAGGAAAGAGGAGGATGAAGAAGATAATTTTTTTGTTGTTGAGAATTTTAGAAGAGATTGGGTAAACAGGAAAGAGAGAAGGGGGAGAGGAAGAAGAGAGAAGGAAGAGGAGGAAGAAGAAGGAGGAGGAAATGAGATTTTTTTGTCTATTATACCATGTACAACTTGTGTACATGGTGTGTATACTTAGCATTTTCCTATAATCAAAATGTGTCCAACTGGATTACTCAGTTACCCTGGAGTCTTTTTGTCATATTAAGGGAGTGTTTGCAACAACTTTAAAAAAAACACTTCTCAGTTTTTGGCTTAAAAAACACTTATTTACCAAAACACTATCAATTTTTACTTTTTCTTGGCTTGCGTGTGAAGTGTTTTTCCTTTTCTATTACACAAAAAGTACTTATTTTACCAAACACTGCCAACTTTTACTTTTCAAAATCACTTTATTCTCAAACACTATCAACTTTTACTACTAATCACTTTTTCCTTACATCTCCAAAAGTGCTTTTTTTAAGCAGAAGCAGTTGTAAACATTCCCTAAGTATTACTTTTGTCAGAATGGTTTAGCACTTGGTTTTTAGTTTTTACAACATTTAATTTGAAGATAAAATGAATCTGAGATGTTTTTAACTGAATTGAAATTTTCTGATCATGTTTGGTCTGGTTTTATTATGATTGATCTGTTCTTATTTGGTAAATGTCTTGTCTCTTTGTATTTATAATTGTCGAAGTCTGATCTGTTCTGGTCTATCACTTGAAACAATATAAGTAAACACATCTTTTGGGCATCCCCATCCATAGACTATTTTTGGGATCATTTTGATGATGTGGAAGATTTTTTTGGGATCATGGATGGGGAGTTGAAGTTATTTTATGAGATTATTTGATAAATTAACCTGGTATCAAATTCTAAAGTTGGATTATTTTGAGATTATTTCTAACTTTTAGAATCTTCTCTCCATTTTTTAGACATATACTCATAATTAAGGTGATGACTAGCTTTGTAGAGATTTTGAAATTGAGTGCATGTCTCATAAAAAATCTAAGTAAATTAAGATCATGGATGATGAGAAATTGATAGGTTTGGAAATTATTTCAGATAATATTATGTGGAAGTGACATGACAATAATAAGTCATAAAAAACCATAAACTTGAGTATCATGAACGGAGATGCTCTTATTAGGCAATTATTAAACTTACATTCACATATTATATCAAATATAAATATATCAAATATAAATGTGTAGAGACTACGTAGTATATTACAAGCTCTATAAAACTCAAATAAATGAATTTTAATATGGTAAGAATTTGATACAACCACAAAAAATGATTCTCTTTTGGGTGAAAGATGGAGTAAAAGGAATTAGAAAGATATGGCAAACAAGAAGACAAAAGGTAAAAAATGGAAAAGAAACATAGGGAGCATCAATGCTTCCGCGAGACCCGTTTAGTCACAAAAATGAATATTAGCAAGAAAGATGGAAGAAAATCATGTTCATTTGGTCTGGCTTTTGGTTTTTAATTCATTCGATTATTTTATTTACTTTGAAAAGTTTGTAAGTGTAGATGCTTCCTATGTCAATCTCATCTTTCCAACTAAAGTTCTGCTTTCATAGGATACGAAATTAAATAAAAATTGTTTGATAGATTCTTATTTGAGAAAAAGGAAAAACAATATATATACTAATGTTTGTGAAAGTTTTTTTGTTTGTGAATTTTTTCACGAAAAATATACTCATTCCGTCCCGAAATGAAGTTCTCGGTTTGACCTACACACATAATTATGTAAGGTTAAATTTTGTTTTGACTTTCCAAGTTTACTTTTACTTTATTTCAAATCAAACAAAAAGTGGGTAAAAACTAAGAGTAGCTGTGACTCTTGGGAAATCTTGGGATAAAAATGGGTTCCTTTTATAGAAATGAAAACTTCTTTTTGAGACATCCATAAAAAGAAAGCGATACCTTCTTTTCGGGACGGAGGTAGTACCGTAGTATATCTTATTTTGTCTACACACGAATCAATTTTGTACTCGTATTGTTTTTCTCATAAACATTAAAATACTAAACACCTAATTTTGCTTTCCTTTTAAACATATCAAATCAAAATCAAATCAAATTGAGAAAGGGAAATTTATGATGACTATAAAAGTACACATTGAAATAGAGTGCCGGTCCTACCTAAATTCGGGCCTGAGTCGAGCTTCATAAAATGGGCCATGTGCCTAATGTTTTTATTCATAAAAATTTAATGATTAAATATCGCAAAAACGCAATTCTTAAATAAAAGTCTTACACCGTAACAATGTAATGTTACAATTTACAAAAGTCTTACACTTTAACAATGTAATGTTACATTTTGTGAGGATGTGCTTTCCGAAGTGGCTGCTTTATTCGAAATTAAGTACTTATTAATATCTCTTGCTTGACTTTGAGTTAATGATTCAATACGGGATTTATTTTTCCTCTTTTGAAATCCTTAACATATACGTAGTACGGAGTATAATTTATTGAAATCCTTAACAATATATACTATTGATCTTCTCTACAATTCTACAAATATAAAGTATATAATTTGATTAATTGTGAAGTGAGAATTCTATAATTGCAATATTGATAAACCTAAATAATAAAAAAAAACAATCAACTAGCATTTGAAAAATTACAAATTCACACATTTAATATTGAGCAAATCAATCTAAAGTTAGAAAATTTCTGAAAAATACATAGATATAGGTATAATAGTAAAGTAAGAAAAAATGGCCCCCTAATTTTTTCAGTTTTTCGGGGCCCTGAGGCTTGGGCCTCTCTAGCCTTACATAAGGCACGTGCCTGTTGAAATATATAGAAAATTCCCTCAGCAGTCATGATGACATATTTAAATTAGTAATGTAATGTTTTTAATTTTAATGTTCAAATATGAGTAATTACTGTCAAGTTTAAAAATAATAAAAAATGACAAATAATCCATGTTTAGAATGAAAATCTCAAAATCATACTTCGTATTATGAATACATTAAGACATAAACATTTTTGCACCAATTTAAATAGAGTGCAGTTTTGTACACCCTCACTAAGGAGGGTGATGTTCACCCCTTTGCTCTATGGTTGCCATGTGGCATTCCATCTCATTTTTTTCCTTAAAATGTTATAACTTTTTTATTTATATAGTTTACTTTTTATAAAAAAATATATCAGATTTTTTAGTTTTTTATGATCTTTCCAATGATATCAATTTTGTATATATAAAAATTTAAAAAAAAACATTTATTTCTAAAATATCTATTTTTAGTTGATTTTTTTTTTAAATTTTTTATATTCAATATTAGTACCATATGAAAGATCGTAAAAAAAAGAAAAATTTTGATATATTTTTTTTTTAAAAATGGATTAAAAAAGAAAAAGATAAAACAATTGCCAAATTGTGAAATATTACCTTGACACATGACAGACAAATAGAGGTGGGGTGAACATAACCCTCTCAAATGAGGATGAACAAAATTGTTCTCATTTAAATAGGCAATTTCCTAAAAATATACTCCCTCCGTCCCAAAATTATCTTCATAGTTACTATTCACATGGTCAACTCAAATTACTCTTAATCTTTTACTTTATATATCAAATTCTTATCAAACTTAAATTTTCTTGATCAGGCTTTGTAGCAGTTTTAATGTAGTTTCTGAATATGTAAATTTTATTTACTAAAAGTAATCCGAGTGTGAACAGGGATCGAGTTGCTTTATCGTCAGTCAAGCATCGTAAACCGAACTATGAAGATAAATATGGGACGGAGGTCGTAGTACTATCGTACGAAGTACTCCTTAGAATAATTACGGAGTATAATTTAGGAGGAAGTAATAGGCAGTATAAGAAGATGTATAAGACCACTTCACTTCCTAAAATCCAACAGACTATTTTGAGCTTTCCTGACATGGCTTCCGACCCCCCCTCTCCTTCTTCCACTGAAGCATTCTCAACCAGAAACTACGAAAACGTCTGCGAACAGATTCGCAACTCTCTGCTTCACAACCAGCTCAGCCTGCTAATTCAAGTTCTCGCTGGTCTAAATGCCCCGAGTCGGGTCGAGTGCGAGAGAATCAGGCAGCAGTACAAGGAAGTGTACGGGGAGGACCCGGCCCATTCTCTCCAGACCCTTGGTCGGATCACGGGCACCGAAAAGCTACCCGAAACGGCGACGAGCGAAGCTCTGGCCATGGCCCTGCTCAGCCCCTACGAGCGCGACGCCGCCTTGGCCAGGGAGGCGCTCCGGCCGGATGACTTCAATTTCAGGGCGCTTGTTGAAATCTTCACTTGCCGGAAATCCAGTCACGTTCAGCTCATACAACGGGCTTATAAAGCAAAATTCTCAACGCGTTTAGATAATGACATTTGCTGCATTGATTCACCATCCTTCCAAAAGGTTAGTTCACTGTGGAATAAATAAATAATTAAATAAATAAATACTCCCCATATACTACGTAGTTAAAAAAGCTCCAGAAATTGAAACTGATCAGAATCAGTGGTAGATACAGGTAGGTTTATTATAGCGGACCCACACAAAGATTCTTTTTGAAATTTTTTTATTCATTTTTTTGTCTTAATAATTTAATCAAAATTGTAATTTTGCTTAAATTACTATTGAAGCAAAATTGTTCTTTTTTTTTTTGGCTTAAATAGCTCGGGGCCTAGGTTGGCCCCTTAGCTACGCTATTCTATTCAGAACATATAATTTTCATTAAATACTCTCATACTAGTAGTATTTACTTAGTTGCAACTATAGTTTTTCATCGATTATATGAGTGAAATAGTGGGCATGGAATATTTTGTGGTAGATGTAAAAAGTAGGAGATGAAAGGCTAAAAAGCAAGACAAAAGATGAAAAAACTAGAACATACAGAGTAGTTTTTAGGCTTTTTTAGAGAAACAATGACCCATATATGACAGACATTATTGTAATGAATAAAAGTGTGACTTTTTATACTTTAGTGACAATAATATGAATTTTAGTATGTTTAAATTCACATTGTAGTGAACTTGAGATATACTTATAGTAACTTTAGTCGCATTTTCTCCATAAGTTTTAAGAAACCTCGTTTTTAAATGAAAAAACTTATCAAGATAGTAAAATGTTGTAATTAATAAAATATTTCTAAAAATATGTGGCAACTAAATAAATAGGGAGATACTAATAACTTTAAATATAAAAGTAAACTTGAATAGTTAATAAATAAATAATAATAACATTCTCTGTCTTTTTGTTGTTGGTAGATATTGATGGCTTTGTCTGCATCACACAAAGCACATGATTGTGATGTTAGCCAACACACAGCCAAATGTGATGCTATGAGGCTGTACCAAACAGGGGAGGGAAAGTCAGGGGGGGCCATTGATGAAGCAGTTGTGCTGGAGATTTTGAGCAAGAGAAGTGTTCCACAACTGAAGCTCACATTTTCTTGCTATAAGCACATTTATGGCCACACTTATACCAGAGTCAGTTCATTTATTTCATTTCGATTCGTCCAATTCTTTTAACTATCAAAGAAGTACTTCATTCTCTTCCAAATTTACCTACATTCTTAAAATGAAAGAAAATTTAAGTGTCACTTAGTCACTCCAAACATGAATAGAACTATCAAGATTGTTTGGTTGACGAAGAGTAAGAATAGAATAGTTAATATCGTGATCACCTACCGCAATTTAATGTTAGATTATATGAAGTCTTTTGACTCATATGTTCTAATATGTATAATTAATGATTTAGTTGTTAGAGGCAAAGTAGAAATAGTTTAAGGACCAAGTTAACCTCACATTGCCTAGGAAACTAATGTAGTTGGGATCCCTCCTTGGGGGTTGTGTTTCCCCGCCAAATGTACATGAGAGTCTTACATTACTCATATAGTCATATTACCCTTATCTTGTATCTTGAAGATACTCAAACCGGAAGCTCATAAGTTAATTTTCAACAATTGTATGTTATCCTCCCTCATCATACATCATAATTTTTCATATATTTAGCTTGATTTTAGAAACAAATATTACTTCTTTAAGCTGATCATAAACATCCTTATAGTGATAGTAGTTATCATAGTTTGTTTAGCTTGGTTTCTTAATTATGTTTCAGTCTCTCAAGCATGGAAGATTGGGAGAGTTTGAAGATGCATTGATCATTACAGTGAAGTGCATATATAGCCCCTCAAAGTATTTCTCACAGGTGATTTATAACATGCATTTGACTATGCCTTCATTGCCTTGTACAGTTAACTCCTTGCCTTGCATTTTTGTTGCAAACACACATAACTACATAAGAGTATTCACGTCCCTACACCATTAGTAGATGAAGTGGGTGAAGTGAAATATCTTGTTGGGTCATGGATGAAGGAGTAGATCATTTGGTGAGAATATATTGTAATAATTAGGTCCCAAGTTATGGTCTGTTGGTAACTAGTTAGAAACATTTTAATTAGGTCCCAAGTTTTGAGTTCGGATTGTTTTAGAAAGTGCTAATGAAAAGTTATGTGTCCCACTAAAAAAAGCATTATTTGGAGATGATGGTCAAGAAAATTATAGTTTACTCGTCTTAGATTTATTTTAAATATAATATTGCGCTTGTTGTAAATCACGAAGATTTAGATTATTTTGGGATTACAAATAGGTAATGTGGGTGTCTTCAAAAAATGTGGAAAACGGTACTAAGTACTAACCCATCCTTCACAATTAGAGGATTTAAAAATTGGAAAATGTTTGCATCAAAATGAACCAAAGTTATCCTTCTTACAATAAGTCATATTTTACGACTCTGTTCTTTGCTGTTCTTTGTTGCACCTCATGCACATTTGTCTCCCAGTCTTCCTATTAGTGGCGTGACCACATTTCTCTCTCTTAGTTCTATCCTATTATTTGAGGATTGGTGTTTCTTATTAAACTCCTTATCATGCAAGTTATCTATAATTAACTTTCAAATGGTGATTTGTATTTCATGATTGATATTTTTTAGTACATTTAAAATTTTACAACATATTCTAATATCGTTTATAAATAAAATGTTCCAATATTAATGTTTATTTGTTGTGACAACAATTTCTTATTGTCTCTCATGCCTTGGGTGTTTATGAAAATGAAAAATGATACCGGTGCCAATGGTGATTTATTAACAAAGATTGCTTAATCTTCAGGTGATGCATGCATGTCTAAAGGGAAAAAGAGTGGGCAAAGGAGATTTGGTGAGAATTATAGTAACCAGGTCTGAGGTGGACTTGGACAAGATTCAAATGGTGTTCAAGGATAAATATGATTTGGAGTTAAAGGATGCTATTTGTGAAAGTATTCCTCCTGGTGACTACAGAGAATTTCTAGTTATGTTGGTTACCAAACCTTCAAATAGGGTTCGATATGCCTCTCTATGAATTGTGGGATGTTGTATATGCTTTTATTGTCATTATATCATTATTGTTAATTATAATTATAATTATTGAAAATGTCAGAATTATCATAGCTCAACATGTAAAATTAGTTATGTTGTTGATTGAAATATGAAAAGACCCTTTTCATGTAGAGTGCCAAGGTCTCTATGTGATTTACCATGGTAGAGGTTTGATATGGTTTGGTCTGATCTGATTTTAGATTGAAATAAGCCCAAGTAAAAACATCCTAATTCTCTAGGAAAAGTGTTCGACATTAAGTGTAGTGAGCGATTATGTGTAGGAATTTTGTAAATCACAAAAAAGTGATAAAGGTCACTTTTCACAAATTACAAAGTTCAAAATCCTAATCCTAATTATGTATCTGTTTACCGTGATAAATAACATAAACAAGCAATAATCGATTTTTTTTCAGGTAATAATTGTTTATTAGTTTTGGACGAAATTTACTCCATATAAATTTTGAAAATTGTGATTTAAAAAACTATGCTCAGTGTTATTTTTTGAAAGGAAAAAGCTTATATTAAACTCATAGAATCAAACGTAACACTTCAACATCATCAATATCCAAATCTTTCATCTAATCGCCGAACATGTGAGACTACTGTGAGAGCTTCGAATCTATTATCGACCAGATTTGCTTGATTGCTTCAACTCAATCTCACCACAAAAATTACCCACAACCCCCGATTATTAACCATATAAAAAAGTACGAGATAACAAAAAATAAAACTTGAACGAAAGATAGAGCACAAGAGTGCAGGTGACCAAGTTTCACCGTGAATCGTCGGTCTCTGATCCCTGGCTCTTTGGTCACTCCAAAGTGGTGCTTCAAGAGGGGGCGGATCGTCAATACCTCGTCTTCTTTGTTCATCTCGTCATTATTTTCCGTCTCTGACCTCATCCTGTCTCTTGCATCGCCGTTCATTATGATTGGAGCAAAACTGCCCTTGATTTCGTCGGCCAAGGTTTGCATCTCACCTGCTGTGATGCCTTCCATCTTCCCGCTGCTCTGTCGCTGAAAAAACTAAACAAAATCTTGACGCCAACGACTTTGCGCGGCTCCAAACTCTAGCCGACGACCAAGGGCGGTCTCAAAACCCTAACGCACGAAGGCGTTCTCTTCCGCTTTCTAGAGAGAGAACGAGAGCTCTCTATCTAAATGAACTGTGCTCAATGTTATTGTAATATTCAATTTCAAAAGAATTCTAAAATAATAGTACTCCGTCCTCGAATTATCTTCCAAGTGGAGTTTTGCAAGAGATCATAATATCAATATACTATCGTATGATGAAAGGAAAGCGATCATAATATCTTTCTTATTAATAATTAAGAAAGTGATCATATTCTTTGGATAACTCGAAAAGGAAAGTGTATCTTACAAAATGGGACAGAGAGAATATAATTTTTGAATAGTCGACGGCTAAAGGTAACAAAATATGGACAAAAGTTCAAGGTATGTATAATGAAAACAAAATAAAACTCTTTTTATTTAGAAAGAAAAAAACGAAAAAAACTAGAGTTGTTAAATGTATTATGGTAGTTGCTAAGAATGTATTACAAGAAATGTAATATATAATTGTAAATTAAGGATGTTTTTAATTGGATTAGAATTTTCTAGTCTGAAATGATCAAGTCGAGCCTGTTTAAATCTTACCTCGTAGATGTCTGATCTATGTTTATTTTATAACTGTCGAGGTCTTGCCTTGTTTAGTCTGATCTAGTCTCTTTAAGTCTAATCTGAAACAAATCCAAGTAAAAACTTTTTTAATCTTTGTTTGAGTTTGAGAGGATAAGAGAGATTTTAAGAGGGATAAGAGAAAGATTTAGAAGGATGGGAAGGGAGAGGAACAATTCAACAAAATTAAACTTGGTCTCATTTGAACGTTACAGTTTGGTGGACCGGTTCCGGGCAGGGCCAGACCGGTTTTTTTTTGGGGAAATGAGGCCCGCCGGGTAGCCAACGGTTCCGAGCCGGTTCATTTTTTTTCTTTTCAAATTACCCCCCCCAACACCCAGCCCAACCCGGGAAAAACAAAAAAAAAATTGGAAAAAAAAAAGGCTCGGACCGGGCCCGAGCCGTTCCGATTTTAGCAGGCCCGAGCCCGCCTCAAGTAACCACCGGTTCGGGCCACCCGGACCGGTCCTATGACCGGTTGCCGGGCCAGGTACAAACAGTACCGGTCCGGGCTGGGTACAAACAGTACTGGTCCGGGCCGGGCAACAGGCTGGTTGGCTCGGAACCGGTCCATCCCTAATTTGTGTTAGTAACCAAAGAGGCTCATAAACCTTCCGTTCTCCTCACATCCTGATCCCCTCCAAATACAAGTTATACAACTCTCAAATAGACAAATATAGCTACAGAAGTATAGTGCGAAAATGAAGAAAATTTCCATAACATGAAAACTTAAATTAGTAAATAACCTAAACAAAGCATGACTATGAGTAGGGGTGGGGAAAAATATCGAAATTTCGGTATACCGGACTTACCATATCGAAAAATACCGAATTTATCGAAATGTTTGGTATACCGACGCTTTTGGTACGGTATGATACCGTACCGAATTACTTCGGTATGGTATCGGTTAGGGCTGGGACTTAGAAACGAAAACCGGGAAAACCGATCCGAACCGAACCGAAATTTTCGGTTCGATTCGGTTCCTATAATTTTGGACTTCACTTTTTTTCGGTTTGATTCCTATAGTCTTTCATCGGTTCGGTTCCGGTTCTGTTCCAGTTCGGTTCCGGTTCCTGACCAGGAACCGAACTTCTCATACACTGCATGAGTAGTCTTCATTTGAGGTGTTTCCGGGTGGAATTTTTCGATGAAATTTTGTGAGGTTGTTTTCTATTAAATAAAGACTATATCCACCAAATTTGAGCTTAAAATGCAATTGGGAAGTTAGTTAAATAAATTATTGAAAAACATTACGCCAAAATATATGAAAAAACGCAATTTTTCAATATTTTATTTAACTCACTTCCCGGTTGAATTTTAAGCTGCAATTTGGTATATGTAATCTACATTTCATGTAGAACATGCTCACAAAAATTTATCAAAAAAATATTCACGGAAGTACCTCAAATGAAGGCGGTCAGACGGCCTCTCGGGCAAAAAGTTCTTGTCAAAAATATTATTCTTGCATGATATACCTTATATATTGTGGACCACGCCAATCCGAGTAGTTATCATTTTAATACTTTAGTCCATTTTTATATATATTTTTTGTTTGTAATTGAATTTGTTATTGGAGTTCACTACAAAAAAGAATTAACATTCTGTTGATTACGTTGTTTATTACTACGTAGTTTTTACTTATTGTGCATTACTAAAAGAAGAATATTATTTTGGGGTTGAACTACCTGCTATTGGATGTGTACTCTGGGGCTATTGAACCTTTTTGCTTGACAGTTGATGCCTATTTTAAATCGAGATTTTTGTTATGTTTAAATTTAATGTTGTACTTGGATATGTCTTTGGATTTTGGAACATTGAGATATCATGCATTTATAATGTAATGGTCTTAATTTCGTGATTTAATATTTGAATTTTTTTATGTAACTGAAGTGTGTTCATTTCAGGAGGATAGTAAATTTTTGTTAGGAACCGAAAAAGAACCGAACCGAATTTAACTAGAACCTAACCGAATTTAACTACATTTTTAACTAGAACCGAACCGAATTTAATGCCTACGATTTTTATACGGTTCCATTGAATTTTAACAAGAACCGAACCGATCCCAAGCCTAGTATCGGTATATATTTTGGAAACAAACGGTATACCGGTATACCGTCATACCGTAATTCTAAGTCAATAATTTCCTTAAAATTGTAAAAATAACTAGAAACACAACACTAATTCAAGGATAAATACCTTTATATCCATGTTTCTTGAATTATTTATACTTTTTGTTGGAGATCGGTGTTATTTTAGTTATATTTATGTTGTTTAAATTATTTTAGCAGAATGTGTTGTTATCTTCATATATCATGTGTTAAAATATCTATACATATTTATAATATTTTTTGTCAAAAGTTGAATAGAACACAAATATGTTATCTCATTGGTATTTTATAATTAATTTCATTAATGATTTTAATATATCACTATTAACACTGATTTTCTTTATTTCATTTGACATATAATAATTTGTTATATTAAATCATGGTAATTTACCGATACCGTACCTTACCGTACCGAAATTTTGGTATACCGAAACAAGGTATACCGAAATTTCGGTATGGTAACGGTATGTATTTTTGCATACCGAAAGTTTACTGTATGGTAAAGGTATGCGATAAAATATTCAGTATACCGTACCGAACCACCCCTAACTATGAGACTATCAATCACTACATATAACAAAACACGAACGGTATTTAATGAAAAGACACAATATCCAATACATGAAAAGACACAAAACAACATTGCTTAGGAAACATCCATATAAGAGCACAATATGCTGCAATAGATACAAGTGTACCCTCAATTAACATCCAGGTCTACTTGAACTGCCACCCATTTGTCATCACTGCATGATAACATGGAAGCCTCAACAGGGAGTACCGCATCTGAACCACGCGGGTAGACCAAAACCATGTTACTCACGGAAGCTGCTCTGTCAATGGAACTAAACTTCTCAATGGAACTACTTAAATGCGGGACTGTCAATGGACTGGACGATGGTCTATCATGTAAATCTTGAACATAACAAGGCAAAACAGGAGCATGGCCAGAAACAGCGGCAGAACTTGAACGAGACTGTGAAACAAAAAACTTATCAGTTTGCTTGACATTAGACTCCATTGTTGAACTCCTAATTTGATTAGACGGTAAAACAGAAACAGCAAAACGCTCGGGCGGTGTTGGAACAAAACATTGATTGCTGAGTGAGAGAGGATGTGGTGTAGCCGATGTTTGCTTCACCTTTAAATTGACGACATCTGCACCTATTGACATAAAGAGAAATTATGAGTGGATGGCGGATGCGGAATATGTGTGCCAGGTATGGTCGAAGTTTTCTGCCTCTTTGTACATTTATCCGAACCTATGCATAGAAAGGGAGAACCATGAGTGCTTTGATCGACAAATGCAGTATATGTATGTATGCCTGACAGACTACTTGTATTTCTGTTTTTTTGTTTTTGTTTTTTGCCAGTGGAGTGTATTGTATGTCTGAGAGAAGACCCTCAGTCTAGGAATCAAAGAGTAAC